CATACCAAGAAAAGTAAGCCCCCATCTCCCTAGTGTAGCCTGATCCTCCCTGCAGACAGGATGCGAGACCAGAGGCTCCCTGCTCAAAGACATTTTGACTCAAAAGTTTTGTGACAATTGCAACAATGGTTCCCTTTGCCTTGGTATGAAATAGGAATAACATTTCCAGTGCATAAGAGTCACCAAGCTTGTATGAGACCGTAGACAATTGAGCCCCAGACGGGTAGATATAAGTGAACACACATTGCAAATTTTCAAGTTAGACCAGCAGAAAACCCATAAACACAGTGAAGAAACTCCCAGATTCTAATACCTTAGAGCAAGAACTGGCCAACGACAGTGATAAAGAGCATGGCCCAAAACATACTGAGTTATTGTAAATGGAACAGAAATTCCTCATCTGTCACATCTGCAGCTGAGTCCCCTGACCAGTGGGTCGTTAGGGACTTTCTAAGGCAGGCCTGGAATCCCGGAAAGCATGGCCTCGGGACGCCCAGAGGCCCAGCTGCATCAAAAAGGCTGTTCTCTTTACAATAAAACTACCGACCCCCGCTGACGCACACTTAATCCTGACAGTGAGGGCTTCGCCTCCATCGTGTGTCGGAGAGAGCAGCTCATTGCCTCTTGGTCTGTTGTTTTTCTGCCAAATTTCAAAGGCCTTCGCGTGGTGGTCGGACTTGATGGTGGAGCACGCCGAGACGTTCCTGTCACTCTTCGCGGTGGACATGGATGCGGCGCTGGAGGTGCAGCCCCCAGACACGTGGGACAGTTTCCCACTGTTTCAGCTGCTGAATGATTTTCTGCGCACTGATTGTATGTATCGTCTCTGACTGTTAGGCCTTCTAAGTCATGTGCAGATAAACACACTGTTTAAGACACACTGATAAAGATAAAACGTCTTTATCCCAGGCAGAGAACAGGCTGGACATAGCTCTTTGTGGTTTTATTATTAATTCAAAAAGAAGCAAACTTATAGCTGATGGACTTTCTTCGAACAAGTGTCCCGTGACAGAAAAGCCCCTCGCTTACCTGGGCAGAACCCAAGAGCAGTGTCAGGAGTGGTGTCCTTGGGGTTCATTTGCTCTGGAACAAGCTAATTAACCTCTTCACATTTTTCAATTTTTATCGAAAGGTGCTTTTTAGATGAAAAAAAAAAAAAATTCTAGCTAAGTAACACCTTGAGCATCTCTGAGTATCTCACTCAACACATAGCCATAAAGTGGACCTTCGTCCCCAGGGAGTGATGAGGAAGGGGTAGAGTAGTCCCTCCTCCCGGTAACACAGCTGGAGGAAGGGGAGCGGGTGCAAGGAGCACCTAAAAATATGTCAGTGGTGGTTTTGTTGCTTTTAAGGGGAAATGATTGCTTTTTTTCTTAGAAGAGAGACACAAATGGGTAAAATGTTTTTGAATTCCATTTCCTTTCCATGCAGATTTAAGCATGAACTTTGATGCTATTCATGTACTTTTTTCTTTCTCTTTTTTTTTGGGGGGGTGGGTTCGGGGGCACTCTCTTAGAAGCCATATATTTAATGTTGAAGACAATCTTCTCTGTGTGTATGTTGTATGCTGACAAAGCAACTGTGGGTTCTTACCAAGATTTTGCTTCTCTGTTCTAGATAACTTGTGCAATGGAAAATTTCACAAACACCTGCAAGACCTGTTTGCCCCACTTGTGGTTAGATATGTGGATCTGATGGAGTCCTCAATTGCACAATCCATTCACAGGGGCTTTGAGCGGGAGTCATGGGAACCAGTCAAGTAAGGAAACCTCTTTTGATACCATCGGAGTTTGGGTGCAAATAGCTGGAGAGTCATCCAGAAGTGGATTAATGGTGTCTGATGGTTTTCAGTGTTGGCGTGACAGAGAGCAAACACCACACAAGTTGCCCGCTAGGATGCACATGGCCTCCTTGGCCAAAGGGGAGAGCGGGAAAGAGGTTGAGAAAAGTTTTATGAAATGAAATCTTTATTTCATAAGATAATAAGGAATAAGGGATAGAAACCTGGCTGTGGTATTTGTACTGTGTATCTTACTCCAGTGGTGTTTTCCCTAGGAATTAACATTTCCCAGAGTGTGTTCCACAGGGTTCTAGGCAAGGGGCCACCAAAACTTTTCCATAAAAGGCCATATAATAAATATTTTTGGCTTTTCAAGCTACATGATCTCTGTCACAATTCCACTCTGCTGTTACAGCACCAGAGCAGCTATAGGCAATAGGTAAGGAACATGAATGTGGCTGTGTTCCCATGAAACTTTATTTGCAAAATCAGGAGGCTGGCCTGTGGGCCATAGCTCGCCATTCTCTGGTCTAAGCCTCTGAGACAAACCTCAAGAAAAGGACTCTGTGGCCAAATGCGATTAGGAAACTCTGTGCACTCCACACCCTTGTCTCCCAGCAGAGCAGTATATTTCAAACTCTGATAACATGGTAATACAGAACCTTGCTTAACTGCTTAACCTAGGGTTACTTGACCACAGTACTCATTTTTTTAATGGGATATCAATCTAAAGGACAAATTACAGGACATCCTGTGGGTTGTGAATTTAGCAACATCCATAACTGCTTGGGGATCTGTTTGAAATGGCCAGTGGATTCATCGCCACCTTCATCCCCCAGCGAGGAGGAGAACTGGGACTCCGGGTGTCGGAGGGGCAGTCTCAGACTCTGCTTTCTGGAGGTGTAGCAGGCTCCTAGATGGAGAGAATTTTCTGATATGAGTTGAAAACCATAAATAAAGCCTGCTGTTAGCTTTGCCCTGTTAGCTTCTCCCCTCCTCCCCTGTAAGAAAATGGTTTTGTTCTTTCTAGTCCTTTATGTCTTTGGAGTGGAGCACAAAGGGGGTGCAAACAAGCAGACTTTCAGGCACTCCAGAACCAGTATTCAGAGACTTTTCTTCCATTTGGAAGCCTTGACTTATCTCTATCTTTAAGTGGCTTTCTGAACTGGACCCTCCCTCTGCCTTATACTGTATAAGACTCTGACTGGTGAAGAAATTAGTGCAGCCTCCCTTCCACCTCAGAGCTGGACTTGCCCTCCCGCCAGCAGGTTAATAGGTAGTAGCTCGTCATTTGTGACACTTACCAGGAAATCTACGTTCGAGCTTGTTATTCTCAGCTCTACAACAGTCTCTTAATAGGGGCCTGCGACTTTTAACTCGTGAGAATAAAACTGGGTCCCTTGGTTAACGAAGGACTCTTTTTTTTATGCTCACTGTAATCAAGACAGTTGTGCTTAAAGAACAGGTGAGCAAGAAAAGGGCTAAAATGAGTAGTTTTCACATTTCGAAAATAGCGATGGTCTTGAAATAGCATGGACTTGCTTGGTTGAAAGTGGACACCCCTGGAGTACCCTTCCCTGCTTCTTAAAGGGCCCTAGAGTTAGGACCTCGCCCTCCACCCGTAGCCAGAAGGCTAACAAAGGCAATGAAATTGTTCTCTCGTCTGCAAAACTGATTTCTTAAAATGTCCCTACTCAGTGTCCGAGAATGGTTGGGAAGTTCTGTGACAGTGTCACTAAAGTCATTTCATAATCTGTTCAGTTCTTCAGAAACCAAGCAAATTACTGCTAATTCTTTTTGACACACTGACGATTCTTAATACTGTCAGAAGTAAAGACAGAATCAAAGTCATTTTCGCAGTTGGAGCTCTTCGTGTGGCAATATTTGGTTGGGATATTTTAATGATTAAAAAAATCAAATTTGAACTCATGGATCAGTAGAGAATCTTTTATGTTGACGTATTTTTTAAGTAGCTTTTAACATGGTTGTGGCTTGTTCAATTCATACTAAATAGTACGTGCCCTTTAGAGTACGTAGAGATATGTGAAAGTGCCAACTAAAACATATGCTTAATTAAAATTCGTGGAAACCACACACATTTTATCAGGGGGGTTGTATAGAGAGTGTGGGTTCCGTGGAACAGATTTGCAGAATGGGCAGTGCGAAGCGCGGGGAAAAGAGCCTGGGGACGCGCTTCCGAGCGAAGAGAAACAGAGTAGAGGGAACGTTTATCTGACCAGCCAGAGGGCTGATAAAGAAGCAGAGATTCATTTTTCTTTGCGGATGTTCTTCCAAGTAAGAAATGGTTTTTTAGAATGTTTTGCATCAAGCTGACTCAAAAATAAGAAAGTGACTTGGATCAATAGGCTTAGCTCCTCAGCCTCCTCTAATTTTGCTGCATGGCCCCCGTTGTACACACAGAGAGACGCAGACTGCAGCCTTCCTTTCAATCAGTTGTTACACTCGGCTCTGTGGGCACCTGGTCATAGGTTAAATGACTGCGAGATGCATTGTAAAAGCTTCCCTCAGGACAACTAGTCTTCAAAATGTTAGAGATGGGCAGCACTCTGACACGCTTCCTAGGAACAGATTTTAAATAGTCTTCAGATTTTCTTATTTCGAAATATGGCCATGTACAAGAAAAGAGAGATATAATCATCATTTGGGTTTGAAACGAGTATTTGGCAGAAAGGGTAAAAGGGCTGTCCTAGTGCTGCCTTCCTAGAAGGATGGCCTTTGGTCTCTGCAAGAAGAGGGAAGGGCCATCAGCTGCGTCGCTGTTCCCATTAGGCCAGATAGAGTCGCTGGTAGAACCTCTGCTTCGGTGGAGTGTGGTCACAGCTGCTCGCCACGGCTGAGGACAGGCAGCCTCTCGGGGACAGGCCCAAGCTGCAGCCCAGAGCCCCCTCCTGGGCATCCGCCAGGAAATGTCACAGGGCCACCACCACAGTGGGGCAGGTTGTGCCCAGCCCTCCCGGCCGCCCTGCATATCAGCTGTGGGTCCTAACTAGCAGGTGGACATTTCTACCAGCTCTTTAGAGTTGGTTCGCTGCTCGCCAAGTCATCGTGGAGGAAAACTTAGAAAGCGTCTAATCCAAAGCTTGCCAAGCCTAGTACCCCCTCCGCACTTCCCTTTCCTTGACAGGTCCTCTCTGTCTCTACGTGGACACCTGCGGGCACAGGGAATCCCCGTGTCATGGTTGGGATGGCTCTGAACGAGAGCTGAACACTGCTCCTTGACATATGTACATGGAAAAATCTGGGTTTCTCAAAATGCACTTTCTCTCTCTCTGCCTGAGATACACATATGAGGACTTTAAAAATAATATCATTTTCCAGACTGTCAGAGGTGTCAATACCTTAATGATAATAAACTGTCAGACCAAACCCACCTTAGCAATATGTAGGTGGCCTAGTTTGAAACAGACAAGATCTAGACATGGAGTCAGGACTCCTGACACTGACGGTAATTTGCTGGGTCGCCTCGGGCAAGTCAGCGGACCTTTCTGAGCCTCAATATCTTTCTTTGAAAAGCAAAGACTTTGAACACCCAAGACTTTTCCAACACTAACGTCCTAGAAAATGTGATTTTCCATATTCCCATTTGACCACCATTGCCTCCCTAGCACCTAGGACAGGGCCTCGGACATCACAGGTGTTCAGTGAGTATTTATGGATTAACCGACCTTTATTAAGGACCCCATACAGGCTGAAAATTGTAAGATTACACTAGAAAAACTGTGGGAAAGGGAGAAGGAAAAGACACATTCGCCTGTTGGGGACTGCAAGCTAGGTGGGCCTGAGCAACAAGACCACAAGGAAAAGGACTTTGACTGTTCACCGTGCTTTTACCAAATAATAAAGAAGAGCACAGACGAGACGGGGATGGGCTTCCACTGAGGAGGAAGCTAGGGTTTCAGGAGCAGGGGTCCTGGGAAGAAGCGTGAGCAGAAAGCGGGTCGTGCAGCAGAGGCAGTGCTCTGTCGGGCAGCGTGGATGATAGAGCGGGCAAGCGATGAGCTTTGGACGTTCTCAAAGCCCGAGAATTTTGCAACTTTGTTCTCTAGGTGTTGTTTTCTGAACAGGAGCTTCACAGCTCCCAGTGCTGGTGAAAATTGGCCCTTGGAGGGGGGGAGGGCAAAAGGACCTTACTCTTGTTGTATATATCCATATACAGTATGGACTCTATTAAATTTTCACAGGGAAGGCAGCTGGGTGGTCTGGTGATGACAATGAAAAAGAGGTTGATAAACACCGCTGTAAACTCTGAGAAGATATGAGAGTGCCCACGGCCCAGAGTAGGGATCAGACCTAAGAATAAGCGCTGAGAGAGACACTCGTGCCCAGAGCACCAAGAGACGACAAGATGTGTTACATATATTCAGCAACAAATGGCCGATAAAGTAGAAGACATCCGTGTCTTACCTCTAACCCATCCATAAATCTAAGCTTCCTTGGGAGAAGACCCAGCCATGCTGTCTCTGCATGAAGACAGTCCCAATTACAATCAATTCTAGAAGCAAGGAATGGCTCTAGCTCTAGTCATTCCCATCAGTAGAAATGATGAAGAGCCCACATAGTTGTAACTTTCATCCATGTGGGAGCGAGCAGATGAGAGCTTTTTAATCCAATGTTCCAGAGATGAGGCCCTTTGACATGCATGGGAGCGATCCTTTCTCAGCAGCATCTGCAAGATGAATGAGTCTAATTTTTAATATATATCAGTTGTTAGGACTGTAATTCACACTTCTTCTACTCTTCAGAGATGTCCTATTATGATTCTCACAGAGAAGCATGATGGGCTTTTTAGGTAGTTACTAAAGGACCCTCGGAAATAATAATTCATTATATCCATCAGCAAACCCAGGAGCCTGAACTGACCTGAGTGCTACTTGAAAATTTCCCCTTTCACATGTATATAATGCTTGCAATTGCCTCTTTAATTGTTAATATAAGTTATTAATATCCAAATGAAATACTAGTAACCTTAGTAATATGCTATATTATTTTGCGAAAAGCAGAAATATCAAGCATTTCTCAGGTTTCTAAAAGTAGAGCATTATAATATGTCACAAGAAGGAAGTGTTTCTACGAGTCCAGTGCAGTAGTCCAGCCAAAATGTCATATTTTACAAATACAATATGTTTTGATTAATATAAGTATTTTTAATTTTTGTGTGCAAAACAAAGCTCATTTCTAATTTGTGTACGCACCATCCGCTAATATGTTCAAATTAAGTTGCTTTTGCATACATTCGTGTGTTAGTCATTCCTAGCTACTTTTAATTTGCTCAGAACTGACATTTTAACTTTCCAGGCTGCCATCTCTAAAGATCTCCCAATTCCTTCAGCATTATTCAGTGTGTGCATCATTTAATGATCACATTTGCTTATATAGGATTACGCATGACTCGATGGAAATCGCCAACAGTTTTGCTACGTGGCAGTATTTAAGACTAAGAACCACCAGGGACTGAATTCAAAGTCACATTCCCCAGTTAAACCGAGAAGCATGGAAGGAAAAGTTCCATTTTCCCTTCTACTCCATAGTCATATTTAGCTTCTTCTCTTGACTGTTTCCACAAGAGCAGCCTTTAGTCCCAGGTAGAGAAGTACAATTAGCTTTCCCACATGTGACGTGTAAAGGACACACCTGTGAGACACCTGTGTCCCTTAAGGAAGAGAATGCCAGCTTGGCAGTTTTGCAATCTAGGTTTTTCCATCTACAAGCTGGGGCTGTATCATCATCGCAAAAGAAGAACTTGATTCTAAAGGGAGACAGGTATGTCCAGACTACCTACAGGGGCCAGAATTTCTGACTTATCGGGAGGCCTGCCCCCCTAAGCAAGCCCAGAGGCAGCTCCAGCCCTTGCAAGAGTTCTGCTAGTCAAACACAGCTTGCCCGGGGCAGAGCTGCTTTGGCAAAACTCGCTCTTCTCCTGCAAGATCCAAAAAGAAAGCCTCAACTCCTTTGCCAAAGTGCTGTCAACTCTACTTAAACAGGAAGGCTCCTCTCAGATGCAGAGTTGGGCTGGGCTCCACCGTGCCAGTGACTTTGGCTGGATGGAACACCCTTCAAATGCCGCCACAGAGACACGCGGTGCCAGCTTGGGGAGAGTACATGGCACAGTCCTTCGAAGAGATACGGTTGATTCTAGCTGGGGTTGTCATTTTGTTTTATTTTCACTCTCTAGTTAAAGCCCTTTATCTCTCTTTCAGCACATCACTTGATTGACCTTTGTTCAAAAACAAAAAGCTTCTATGAGGTCACGTTTTAAAATGATTTATTACTTTTTAACTTACATTTTAACTTTTTAGAGAAAGATATACAGCTTTAATTTTCACAAACTAAAAATACCTTTAGAACAATCACACAGATCAAGAAACAGCACATCCCCAGCACCCCAGAAAGCCCTGTCACTCATTCTAACGCCTCCATCTCACTGTCAAGGGCAATCACTATAACATGCGGCCACATTTCAAATCCACTTGTGGTCAGAGAATTTACTATAGAAGCTAAAGTTGGGGGTTTTTATTTGCATGTGTGTGTAAATATTTCTTCATTTTAATTGGACTTAGTTTGAGAAGGGAAGTTTCCATTTTCTTCAAGTGTTCCATAAAATTATTCAAAGCCAGTCATTTTTGATACAATTCCTTCATCCTTGCCATCAGCTTGGACACCCCATGGCACACACACCGGTCTTCAGAAGTATCAGTCAGAAAGAATCCTGCTCCCGTCCACCAGCATTGTGTGTGCATTCCAGTGGGTGGATTCCTGTTACGCCACGTAGCTAATATCTGACCTAAGGAATGTGCCTCCACCAAAAATAGGCTATAAATAAAAGTAAGAAAAGTAAAGCGCTCCGCCATTTCTCTCCATCCCAGCTACTCCCCAGCAGCCCAGTCACAGCAACGCCAAGGATTCCACGAACCTCAAGTTTCTAGCACGAGACAAGCTCTAGACTCTGATGGCAATGGATTTGGAAACTGCAGACCCTCACAAAGGCATTTAAATAATGTGATCATTGCAGAGAGGTGTCCATGAGTGTCCACGCTTTCAAGTCACTCTGTGGTTAATTTTTCCATTAACTTCTGTCATTTCTCTCTGACCACTGAGCCACCCCACCGCTGCCGATCCGTCAGCTGCCTTCTGCAGTGTGTTCGCTGTTGTCTGCCTGTGGACTTAGCCAATTTATTTACGACTGTCGTGTGCTTCTGCCTCATCTGCATTGTCACTGTGATGGTATTTTTTCTTTCTGTCTGTTTCTTCCACAGGAGTTTAACCAGTAACCTACCCAATGTGAACCTACCCAATGTGAACCTTCCCAAAGTACCAAATCTACCAGTTAACATCCCTCTAGGCATCCCACAAATGCCTACTTTTTCGGCACCGTCATGGATGGCTGCTATATATGATGCTGAGTGTGTATTCAGTTCACATTAGATCTAATTTAAATTTAAGTGATCTTGGCATGGATATGTCTTGTTTATTTCTATACATCCCATATAACAGAGATGGAGAGGGATAATTAGACATATTTTGCTGATCATACAGAGACAATATTGTTTATTTCTGGCGTGCGGCATGTTTGTGAGACGCTTGCTATATATATACAGCACTAACAATTTGTCCTACGCCCACTGAACGCTGAGGACTATGTTCCGCTTCCTGAATTCTTTTGCAGAAAGATTCTGCCCATGTTTTGTTTTTTGCTCTTTAATGCAGGTGGCATACTTTAGGAGCTGTTTATCCAAAAATAGTCCAGGAAACCTCTTTGATGGGCCGGCCCATCATCTCTGACCTGATCCAAATTTAAGAGGGAGGCGCACCTACCTAGAAGCTTTCTTTTTTAAAAAAAAATTTAAAAACTCCTAGAGACTGTTTAAACCAGGAAGTATATTTCTGGTGTCAGCAAATGGCAGGATATAGTAACAGTATGTTCAGGGCTAAATGAAAATTTCTGAATGCATCAAGCCTTCGTCATGGAAATGTTATGTAAAGTACTTCCCAAGGTCATAACGCAGTCCGGAGCGCTGAGCTCGAGGTAGCAAGATGTCTGAATTTGAGACTGCAAGATTTGAACAGCAAATAATGAAGTTTTTTGGTAGCCATTTCATCTGTGGTCTGAGTGTGGAGGCAGTCTTTACATCCATCCACACAAATACCCGGAACACACGGGGTTAGTTTTTCTTGGAGGCCAAGCCCTGCCTTCAGTGCCAGTCAGCAGTTCACGGCGATGGAGGTTGAGCAGCCATTTCTTCTAAGGCTTAGGAAACGAATCCTCTTTTTTTCCTTAGCAAGAAGAAGATCCAGCACCTCTAAATTCTACCGCAGGGAAATGAAATTAGAACCACGTGCATGATTTAATAAGTGAAATAGGGCTTAGTGATTCTGTGCCCTCCTTTGATCCTGTTCTTAGACCACAGCTAATTATAGGCCAGATAAGCTTTTTCTTGAAAGAATAAATTGGCACGTTTTCAAAGGGAAGTGTTATTATCAAAGGAATAAAAAATGATCTGAAACTGGCAGTGAGTTTTGAAACCATTTCTGCTGTAATGCAGGTAGAGCACGGGACGTTAAAATGACTGCTCTACTGGGCTCCTCCAAAGCTGCCTGATCTTTTTTAAAACCCGAGTTTGTTCACAAGTTCACAATGAAATCATAGGGTCGATGTGTCTGATTCTCATTTAAAGTCCAGTCAAAACCTCTAAAAATTTATATCTGAAAAAAAATCTAAAAAACACAAATCATATTCATGCTAAGATGACTATATTAAAAGTTAGATTAGGTATTAACTGTTAATAATTTAAAAATAAATATCTGAAAGCTTCCCTTACCTTCTTCTGTGCATGCTCTGTGACATTGTTTTTGAAAAGATATGAATCAAGACATTGTAATAAAGCAGATAATGGTCTCTGTTCGATTAATTAAGGCATGAGTGGGAACACATTTTGGTAACTGCTCAGCAATCAAAATAATCTTGGTGCTATTGCCTTAACATTAACAGTTTATCTTAAAAATAAAAAGAAAATATTCTTTTCCTCATGTCAAAACTTAATAATAAGCTCTTCAAAGAAAAAGAAAAAAACCCTAGAAGAATTTTTTGAAACTCCGAAACCAGATGGGTGTCAAAATGTTGTTGTAATAAATACCAATTATTGCATTCATATGTACTTAATGATTTAAAACATACAACCATGCAGTTCCAAAACGGGCTTTAGACTAGACAAAGTTGGGGTTTCTTTTTCCCAAGCCTAGGGCGGGGCAGGGGGGAAGGCTGAGCTCCCACGGAGAAACGGTGCGTCCCCCCACTTCTGAGCAATGCTTATGGCGGTCTCGGAAAAGAAGGCCTCGATTCTCAGTCGCCCGCCAGGAAATGCCTGATTCTATATCTTTTCATTATTCCAGTTTCCTCCTTTGCCACCTTTCATTTTAAGGACGTGTTTCCATGTTACCTGCTCCTCGTGTCAGATACGTCTCCGTACTGACCTCAGCCCGGTCTGTCCTTGAAAACCTGTCCGTGTTGCCGAGGCGCGGCTCCCCTCGGCATGTGGGAGCGGCCTCCCGCCCGCGGTAGCTGTGTATGCATTTATGCACTAGCTATATTTCTCTCTGAAGCATTAATTCAATGCAGCTGGCATCTGTCACAATAGAAACACCCACTCTCATCTGTTTCTATAGACGATGTCAGAACAAGTGGTAATGCATGGTGTGTTGGACATTTTATAAATTACCGTGTTAGCATTAGTGGTATGCGAGGAAGGGGGTGGGAGGTGGCCACCCCTCAGAGCTCCAAATGGGATCGTTGCAAAAGAGAAAGCCAGCCAGAGAAGGGCGAGAGGGCGAGAGATGGAGCATTTCCCACACACAGGCTTTCCGTGGATGCCCCGGGTAAAAGTTTCTTACACGTCACTGTACAGAAAGGGATCAAGACCAGTTTCTCCATCTGGACTGGGTAAGATGGTGCAATGGTAAAAAAGGAAAGAAAGAAAGCAAGCTCAGGTTCTGAGCCCTAAAGCTTTGCAAGTATCTCTTGTCCACTCACCTCCCCCCTCCCAACCTTGTCCCGGGGCGGCCTATGCAACGGGCTGGTCTATTGGACTAATAACCAATCTGAACAAGACTCGTGGATTCCAGGTACCCAGGGGTACTTGGCTCCACCTGAGTCACCCCGATTTCTTTCCAGCTCTTCACGAGAGAAAGCAGGTCCTCGCTCACCACTTTGTTAGCACTGTCCTTTGAAAACTCAGTCTGTGCAATCTCCAAGAGGCCTCCGTCCTGGAGGGGAGCTGGGAAATGCATGAAGCCCGAATTCTAATAACTGCATGTTGCCATGTAGTTATTATTTGTTGAGACTTACTTCTCCCCCTGGTTCGTGGCCTTCATCTGAATCATCACATGTGTAAATGTGGTTATTAAAAGAAGGCTGATTTTTACCATACACTGTTCTCCTGGCCGTTACGGGGCAAATGTTTCTCAGACTTCTCACTGGTCTGGAATAATTGGCTGAACAAAGCCGACTGGGTCGTGTATGGTAAAACTCAAAATCTGCCGGTGGAGAATGCCCCCACCTCCACCGCCAAAATGCGGCGTTTTGTATGTTGAAGCCACTGTTTGCCTCAAGCCTTCTAGTCCCGGTTGTCTATGTGTCAGCTTTTCCAAGCCCAAGGCCAGTGGGTGACTCTGGGTTTTTGATTTTTACCCTGCCAGCAATGGATCAGGCACCTCAGAGGATCTGTTCTGGAAGCTCGATGCCCTTCAGACCTTCATTCGAGACTTACACTGGCCCGAGGAGGAGTTTGGGAAGCACCTGGAACAACGGCTGAAGCTGATGGCAAGTGACATGATAGAATCTTGTGTCAAAAGGTAAGCGAGGTGCCTGGACAGCCTCGGCACGCCTTCCCCACCACACACTGACCAAGGTCAGGGCAGACGGCCACTCTCCATTGGCCATAACTTGGAGGTGTTTGGAGAAAGTGATTGCTTATCAAAGTCAGCTGGAGTGGTGGCCACCCAAGTCTAGCTTCTGTTCACTTGCCCCACGTCTGTCCCAAACCAATCGATGTGACTGACTGTTCTTTCACTGAGCTCCATGAGGGAAGGCTCCATGTCGGTTCTTGTCTGTCTCTGTATCCTTGATATCTAGCAGTGTCTGGCACAAAATACTTAGTAAATATATTTTAAATGTAGGAGTGTATGCATGATGGGTAGCCAGATGAAAATAAAGACGCACATAAAATTCCAGAGCCAGCGTATCCAGGGCAGGGAGCAGGAACCTAGTGAATTTCCAGCCGTGTGGGCAGGGCCTCAGCAGCCTTGTTCATTCTGTATATATGAACTGAGCCTGTACTACATGCCAACTGTCAGTTGTCTTGTGCAAAATCTAACTATCAACAGGAGGGCATGAGACATCTTGGTGCTTTGCCACTGTGGGATACAGGATTGAGGTGGGAAGGCTGCACTGGAAGCTCCCAGGTAGGCTGTTCTGAAGGCAAGGAGAAGAAGGGACATGCCTGCATTCAACAGAAATTGTCTGAGCTCCTCCTACACACAGGACGGTGCTGAGCTCTTGGCGTACCAAGGACTGCATCCTTCCTCGTGGACTATCTGTACCTGTACATCCTCAGATTTGACATCATTATAGTCTCCTTGTCTATCCCCAGACACACGCCCAAGGGCTTTTCCCAGCTCACAAAGATTCCATTATTTTTCCTCAAAAAAAAAAAAAAAAAAAAAAAAAACCACAACCCACGCATGTGAGTTACTTCCTTCCAGCCTCAGGTACGTGGATTTCTTAGGAAAGTACCAAAGGCTTGTGGCCTCGCTCAGCCTCCTCGGGACGTCGAATGCTTCGCACATCTGTCCTGGGCACTGACGGGGGCCCCGCACAATTCCCACGCCACCCCCGAGGGCCACACCCTCTCCCTCGCGCCCCTCCAGGCACCCGCGAGAGCGGACATGGCTCGTTTCTTAAACTAATTACCTTTATCATCTCCGTAAGAGAACTCTTATTTTCTCGAGCACAATTCCTTGTATGGACATGTGGGTACCCTCGGAGGCCTGTATACTTACTCTAGGTGATTTGCAAAGAGTGAAAAGTGTAAAGATGAAAATGAAAATCACGGAAACCCCCGCCCTCCTCCCAGCCAGAGATCAACCCCGGGCACGTCCGGGCGTAAGTGGTCGCAGTACCTTTTCCAAGGCTTCCATCACGGAAGGTGCGTGTGGAGGTTTATGTGGGTTTNAAAAAAAAAAAAAGACCACAAGCCTCACAGGCCACTCAGATCTCCAGATGTTGTGTAGTCTAGTTGATGGACCAGTTGTGGGAGTTGGGGGCTGGGTTTGGCTGGGAGTGCTCTGAATTCATCATTTTATGTCTTGGAAAAAGAAAAGTGAAGTAATAGCATCAAAACTGGAAACCAAAAAGGCAGGAGAGCGACACAGTCCCGGTAGGCGAGGGGCTCTGCAGGAATTAGGAAAGTAACGAGGTGCTATGGAGAATCCAGCCCGCTGTTGGCTGGCACTCGGGAAGCTCCGGACACCCATTTTGGGGGGCTTTGTTCTTTTCTTCCCACTCTGAGAATCAAAGGCAGGTCTATTTCTCAAACCCAAGATACAAATGTTTCCTTAGGGTTTTGACTCTCACCATCTCCTACACAGTCTGTCTCAATTCTAGGAAAAGTCAGTCTTTTCCTATGGCCCAACCATTTCACAAAAAACTGCTGGTGAAGGTAGTCCCTCTGTGGCAAAGTGCTCTTCCCTGGTCTGTACCAGGGGCTGCAACGCATTAGAATTAAGGCTAAAGCTTCTGATCCACGCACACAGTTGCACAGAAAGACACGTGTGCCCTTCTCTGAGGAGCCGGTAGGGAAGAGTAATAGGGAGATCACATACAGGTGTGAAAGGTGGATAGTGACTCTGTTTTATCACTTAACACACATCTTCGTGGGTCAGCCAACTCAAAGACTGTGAGCTCCTCAGAAGCGGGGGGGGGGTGTCTCATTTTGGGCTCCTCGCCCGCCCCAGGTCCCAGCATCACGCTTGGCACACAGTAGCTGTGAATGTTTTAAGACGTGGCATCCACATTAGTAGAGCCTAGAACCTTTTCCTTCCTCTTTAGGACAGAATAAAGGGCCCTTGTTCTAGGATAACATAGGAAGGACATGATTCCATAGATGTACATATGCAAAAAGCCCATCCGGCATTCCTCATTTCCAAGTTTTCTAAGAAATGGAAATTATTCATTTGATGAAATCATCCATTTGATGGACTTGACAGAGCCTCTAGTCCAGCCTGTATCAGGGGCTGTGCTCCACACAAAACAAGGTGCCCTAACCGCCCTCACGGAGAGTTAGTTGGATTAACTGACCTCTCCGTTCCTGGCTTTTTGGTCCTGTAGAGCCCTGTCGGTCATAGTAATTTTGCATTCGGCTTCCTCTTTTCACAGGCCCACAATCTAAGGGCTGTGAACAGCTCTCCTGTGAAAACAGAAGACGATTACTTCATTGTAAGGATCGATTTAGCATTTCCATTTCTCAAATTGGGCCGGAACTGGCACGCGAGCCTCAGAAGATCCACACAGGGACCTGTCCAACTCAGTCCCATCAGGCTTCCTTTTCACAAAACCAGAAAATGATGTATTTTCAGCATAGCTTAAAATGATCATCGTGATTAGAAAGCTACTTCAGTGCACCGAGTCTTTAGAAGCCAAGATACATTTATCTTTAACATGATCATATAATATATAGGAGTGTTTTAAGGCATTTTTTTAGTTGTTTTCTTGAGAGCTGGGCTTCCAACCTTAGAAATTATACTTGGCTTCCCCGCATGCACCCAGGGTGTGTTCGCAAGCTGGCATCCTTTCCCGAGCTAGCTAGCTGTGTGGTCCCTCTATGCACTGTTAGAAAACTGCTACAAATCCCTCTTAAAGGGATGCTTTCCCGGTGGCTGGGTGATCTCCACAACCTGACGGTGAACAACGCTAGAAAGACGCATTGGACAAAAGGGCCCTTAATCAAACCACTTACTAACCAGGTGCTTTTTTCTAAAGGCGTGTGATGATGTGACCCACTTCTCTAAAAACATAACCGGGCCCCTTTACAGTGCTCATATCAAGGTTTAGGTCTCACACCTATGGGACCAGCTGGCCATGTCGGACGAAAGTTTCCCCGTGAGCAGTTAGCATATTGCTGGGATCATAGTTTCACCTAAGTCAGAATTATGTCACTTTAAATGTCCACCATTACACGATTCTTAATTTGGTAACTATATTAAGTCACTTTTACTTATAAATGTAATATATTCTTATTGCAAAATAAAACATTGACATTGCAATGCAAACAAACAAGCAAGCATAGTGGAGGTCCTCCATTGCCACTTCTGCTCATTTCACTCCCCTCCGCAAAGGGAGCCATCTCATTTTTTAGTCTTTAAAGCAATATAATAAGCTTGCTGGGTTTTTTGGGTGTGTTTTTTTTTTTTACTTCAGTCTCATTCAAAACCAGAGTAAAAAAAAAATAAAGTAAAATAAATGTCCTTTACGATTTTTTCCCACCATGAGATTGTGAAGATTAGAAACTGCGTTTTTTTTTTGTTTGGTTTTTTTAAATGAAGCGATTCAAGGTAGGCAGTTGCCAACGTGAGAGAACTTGCATATGCTATAACGCTGTAATTGGGTTTTTGTTAATTCATTCATTTTCCCGCAGTTAGGGTTCTCCATAGCATGTAAACTATAGACAGAAATACGCTGAGCTACAGGTGTTCCGCGTGCTGCCAAGAAAGAGGGGTGTGTGCGGCTGTCTCCCTGAAGAGCCTTCCTTAGCTGGGGAAGTCATTTTCAAAAGAACACATGTGAAGTCATTGTCGATTGAAACTGATTACAGCCTTCAGTTTTCTTTTTCCCTGACCTCTCAGAAAATGTCTCCTCCTGCTGCCATCGAAATGCTGAATTGGTCTTTCCTACTTTGTTTTAATAGAACCAGGATTGCATTTGAAGTTAAGCTGCAAAAAACCAGTCGATCAACAGATTTTCGAGTCCCACAGTCAATATGCACCATGTTTAATGTTATGGTTGATGCCAAAGCTCAATCAACAAAACTTTGCAGCATGGAAATGGGCCAAGAGGTAAAAAAAAAAAAAAAAATACGGATTTCCCCCCCACCCCCTTTCATTGATCATGTAGAAGAAAACTTCACAAATTCCTTCCATCTACACTAGTCTTCTAGTTTCAGAAATATACTCTGACATTTGTAGATTAAGCCACAGATGAATGTTTGGTGTCTGTTTGTTAAGTAAATGTCTAAGGCTTGTGCTAATGTGCATGCCAGTCACTTGGAAGTGATTCTTGGCTGGAGTTGGTGTGGCCGTAAGTTCCTTTAAGTCCGATGATGTTTGATGATCTTATTTATTAGGCTGGTATCTCCAACAGATGTTTGCCAGAATGCAAGTCATTTTCACATTTGAAGTGCATTTTATCACTTTGAACATCTGGATGGCAGGCAGGAGAGCTCTCTTTTTTGCACCAAGCATCTTCCAGGATATATAATATTGAAGCACCCAGTCCCCAGCAGCAGGTTCTGAATTTTCAAGAAATCACAGACTTTCATTTTCCTGAGCCTGATTGTGAATCTTCCCTGACCAAAAGTTTAGTCCTTTGCTAAGTTTCCAGTTCCAAAGTGGTATTTAAAATGTAAAGGAGAAAGAAACAGCAACTTGGGCTTGATTAAAGACCATCGTGATCATTTTTCTCCGATGGCCTTAAGCCAGCTCGATATTCATATACCAATTTAGAATTAATTCAGAAACATTTCTGGCAACTCTCATGTTGTTGCCAATTGGCATAAATTGCTCCTAAATCAGATCTTTCGATACCAGCCCTACATGCTCAGAATTTTTACTAAATTATATTTGCTCTTATTTGTTATTTATTTTCTCTTTCAGCACCTTCCATTTTTAAACGTGGGTTGGTGGTATTCTCTGGCTGGCCAGGTCATCTTTAGCCTTTCCCCTCCAGATCAGCTCCCTCGGCCACTTTTGAGAGCCTCTGCCCCTGACTGGTTTCCTGGTTGGGGACCTTTCCCGGGGCTTATGTTCTAGGCACTGGGTCAAATGCAAAGAGTTTTCTTTCCCGGTTCCATTTGCTGCAGGTGAGGGACCTGGAGCAGTAGGTCTCAAGCCTCAGTGTGTGTCAGACCTGTCTAGAGAGCTTCTCAAACCCAGATTGCTGGGCCTCGCCCAAAGACTTTCTGATAGGTCTGGGGCGTGGTCCAGGAATTTGTATTTCTAACAAATTCCCTGGGGATACTGCTCCAGAGTCCACACCTTAATATCACTGGTCTGCAGGCTCGGTATCCAAACGCGAGGTAAGGAGAAGCGCTCAGGCAGGAAGGACCACGCCCCGAGGGAGCCTTAGGTTGGGGGTCTGGCCCTGCTGTGCCGCACAGCAGAGCTGGTCAAGTCACTTGGCCTCTTCGGGCCTCGGTTTCTTCATCTGTAAAATGATAGCACTATTCTAGTTTTATTCAGGCTGTTTTAGCTACAGAATCAGTTCTTGAGACCTTACCAAAAAGGCCAGCATAGGAAACAAATAAGATTTCTGGACGAAGCGGGGGTATCACTCACCCACCCACTTCTCTGGGTGACGGAACAATCTCTTAGGCCTCGCAGAGGCCACTGTAAAAGCCCTGTTGTGATGATCTGTAAGGATCGTGGGTGATTTCCAGAATCCTATCCCTCCTGAATTTTACTCCCTTTGGTGCTTCACATACCGTAAAATTCAGTCTTTTAAAGTATAAAATTCATAGTGTTTAGTATATTCACAAAGTTGTGCAACCACCACCACAATCCATTGTAGGACATTTTTATCACCCTGGAAAGAAACCCAGACCCATTAGTATAATTCCCCAACCCTGCCTCCCTCCCCAGCCCCAGGTCACCACCACTCTACTTTCTATTAATAAGGACTTGCCTATTTGAGCATTCCATGTAAATGCAATATTCTAATATGTGGCCTTTTGTGACTTCTTTCTCCTGCCGTAATGTTTTTAAGATTTATACATGTTGTTACATGTACCGGTACTTCATTCCCTTTTATAGCTAAATAATATTCTTTTATATGGATCTGCCATATTTAATCAGTTAATCAGTTGATGGGCACCTGAGTTGTTTTCACTTTTTAACTACTATGAGTAATGCTGCCATGAACATTTGTGTACAAGTTTTCATGTGGACCTATGCTTTCAACTCTCTTGAATATGTATCTAGGAGTGAAATTGCTGGGTCACATACATATATACTTTTTGAGGAACTGCCAAGCTGTTTTCCAAAGTGGCTGCCCCATTTTATAGTCCCATCAGCAATGCATGAGGAATCTTGTTTCTCCACATCTTAGCCAATACTTCTTATCTGTCTTTTTAAAATTATAGCCATCCTAGTGGTATCTCATTGTGGTTTTGATTTGCAGCGATGTTGACCATCGTTTCATGTGCTTATTGGCCATTCATATATCTTCTTTGAAGAAATCTCTATTCAAATTCTTCGCTTATTTTTAAAATTGGGTTGTACTATTATATATATGATTTGCAACTATCTTCTCGCATTGTGTAGGTTGTCTTTTTCACTTTTTCAGTAGTAATTCTTTAAAGCACAAAACTTTGTTTATGCTTTATAACTCACTCGGAGTTTCTTGAGGTGTCCATTGTTATACAAGGACTGGCCTCCCTTTGCCCTTAGCTTTTCCCATCCCTCTTCAGATTGACTTGGTTGTGGCCACATTTCCTGGTCAGACAGCTAAAGAATTCTTTCAAACAAACCAAGTCTCTCTGGTCTTAACTCTTTTCTTTTTAAACTAGGATTTGGGGAGAGTAGTTTGGGGGGGAGGGGGGTATTATTGTCATAGACCCCAGCTGAAAATCTGATGAGACTTATGGTGCCATTTCCCAGGAAAAAATACTTTCACATAATTTTACTATACAATTTCGGGGGACCTGTGGAATTGTTAGGCCAAACTAAAGACCCCGTTTGGAAATATATGATGAGAAATAACAAGTGCTCTGAGGTACCTTGCTCTGTGGCTGTGACCTTGAGTGGAACCTCAGTAGGGATCTAATGCAAATGGCTCTCATCCACTCTTCCCATTTTCTAGAATGGGGATACTCACCTCCAAAGTAAAACTGAATAATTGAAATGAGATTGGCCAAGGATGCTGACCAGACACATCCTAAATTGGAAGAATAGATAAAAGTCTAATTTTTTTTGGCGTTTTCACTTTGTATTTGATATTAAACTCATATTATAGATCTAGTTATCAGATACTTGCTTCCACTTGGATTCCAGTACCCTCAAGGTGTTTTGGACTAGATACTGGCCAGGTGATGCAGTATTTTCCAATTTAATGTCACTTCCTAAATTTCATCACTAGGTAAAGTATCATCTGAAGGCAGCTGTTGAAACATTTGTCAACCATACTTCTCCATCTTAAATATTTATTTTTTCATTAAAATTTGCAAAGCACCAATAGGGAGGAAATTGTATATTAAATACTTTCTCACTTGGTCTAGTGTGTTTTCATCTCATTTCCAAGGTCAGATGGTCTTAACAGAAAGACAACATACACACAATCTGTTCCATGACAAGGCAAAATGTGCAGCACAGGAAGTCAAGTGAAATGATTTTCACGGCATGATTGTGAATTTGCAGCAACTTAGCTCATTAGAAGCAAAAGTGAACTCCCCAAACTTCCCATGCCATTGAGGATTAGTAGTTCCTTTGCTATCATTATGACCTAGGGCCCCAGAATACAACTGAGTATTATTATTATTATTATCATCATCATCATCATTATTAAGTCTCTACAAGGTGGAGAGACTGAAAAAATACAAAAATAGGTAACAGAACCTCTTTGTCCCCAAATTGGCTATTTCATCTGACTGCAAAATTTTTTATAGCAAAATAATCTAGTTGGGAAGAGGGATGGTAATTAAACGATGCCCCAGTAGTATTTATACTCCTTGTCGGAGCTTCAGGTCTGTATGGAACAATTACTCTCACTGTTGCTCCAGAAAAGCAAGTTTATTATTGCTCCAGAAAAGCAAGTTTGGGAGAATGTGGTAAAACCAATCCATGTATTTGGTAATTACTTGTATAGGAATGGAGGCTACTTTGATAAACACTGCTTTGCTACGTGATAAGCAGAGTAGATATTACCCTGCCCTACTCTCTCTCCAAAGTGGGTTTTACTTAATTGAGATTATCATTGACATACAACAAAGTATAGAGATTTTAGATGAATTTAGAGAAATATATACATTGCCATATAGCACTTCTAAGTTTCTAACCCAAGGGCCTATGCATTTTTTCATTACTTTGTGAAGATTTCTATATTCACAACAGGGATAATTCTAGCCCTGCTGAGGACACGAGGAAATAGGCTAATGGAGATGACGTACTCAAGTTTCCTCTGGAAGTAAGAATAATCATATGAAAACACCTTTTTATAAGCAGAATAGACGAAATGTGGACAGAGTGGAGATGAAATACTCGTATAAAGTGAAAGGGAGAGGCATTGGGAGCACCTAGAGAAGTCAGGGCCACATGTGGCGGGGGAAATTGGGAGCAAGGAGAGGTCCCCATAAATCCATTCTCCAGATACTTTCATCAGGATTCCTTAGAGAATGAAAAGGTTTAAAATTCCCCCACTTCTGAAAAGAAAGCTTGTGGGTCTTCCAGAAAGCCCTTGTTAACTCCGCAGGACGAACCTTGCCTGAACTTCCCTGCGTGATGCTCGGGAACGCGTGCTCTTGGCTCTATTTGCCATTTCAGCCAAGGTTTTTGAGAGGAAGTTTCTATTCTCAATGATTTTGTTTGCTTGTTTAGAAACCCCGTATTTAATATTTCATATTGGGTTATTTTTGCCTACAACTAGCTTTTCTGAATTAGTTAAATATCATAAATGATTTAACAAATGTGATTTCTTTATAGCGATCCACAGAGAACCCAGGAGGCAGCCACGCGAGGGAAAGCGAGCGTGTGATTCTGAATCTTATCTCAGGGCCTGAAATGAAGTTGGAGCCGGGTCAATATTCCTGAATTCCTCTGCTCTGGCGTCTTTCTGTGTTTCTAGCACAGAGCTCTGCAGATAGCTTTTGCACTTAGCTTCAGGTTTATGCCACTGCCCGGTGAAGTCTTTCATGAAGTTAGCAGCAGAGCCCCGCGGGTTCTGTTTGTCAGAGCTGTGCGACATGGGCCATTTGCTTTCTTATTTTTTTCTAATCGACTAAAAGGAAACTAAAATGAAATGACTGAGCAGTAAGACCATCTCTCCCTACGCTTGTCTTCCACTTCATGAACTTCAACAAATAATATTGGAGTTGCAATTATAAGTTGACAAAATGTGTCCACACCTAGACCCTCACTAGCTCTTCAAAAGAGAGCAGGGCTGCCAGGCGAGGACTTGGCCCTGGGTTTTTAATAGCCCTGGCCGGGTGGCTCAGCTGATTGGAACATCGCCCTGTGCACCAAAAAGATTCTGGGCTTAAGGGTTCAATTCCCAGTCAGGGCACATACCTAGGTTGTGGGTTCAACCCCCAGCTGGGGCATGTACCGGAGGCAACCAGTGGATGTCAGTTGATGTTTCTCTCTCACATTGATGTTTCTCACTCTCTCTCTCTCCCTCTCTCTCACCCTCTCTGAAATCAATAAGAACATATCCTCGGGTGAATGTAGATGATAGATAGATAGATAGATAGATAGATAGATAGATGATT